CAATATAATTGATATAGCATATCTATTTAAATTATTCATGATATGCTTTAAAACTCATATTAGAAGTATATATTAGAAGCATAGACAAGATGACGTGGTCAAAAAAGCAAGATCACACGCGCATGCACGTGCGCTTCGCTCTGATTGGCTGAAACTAAAGTCTCAATATCTTTCTTGTTTTTTGACGAAATCCTTTGAAATTTTAAATATAGGCATGTATTAGGATATCCTACAATAAGATATATAGCAATTATCATGAAAATGCGTGCATGCACGTGCGCTGCAATCTGATTGGCTTATGCTTTAAATAGCTATAACTCCCTTGATTTTCAACCAAACAGGGTGGGATTTGGATCATGGATAGATATAATGGACTTCTACAAGAAGACATGGTCACCATGCACATGCATACACGTGCATGTACGTGCGCTGCAATCTGATTGGCTGAAACTTTGAACAGCTATTACTCCCTTGGTTTTCAACCAAACGGGGTGGGATTTAGAACATAGATAGATGTAATGGACTTCTACAAGAAAGTATGGTCGCCATGCTCATGTGAGCACGTGCGTGCACGTGAAATGAGTAAAATCAAAAATACACTTGAATTAGCGTATTTTTTAATACTTTTGGATTAAATACTTCGATATTTAGTATATTAAAATCTATAGATTGTGAAGACATGATTATATGGTCATTACGCACATGCATTCACATGCGCACGCGTGCAATGCTAAACTTTGAATGAAATTGGTACACTTCTGGGTAAACGTTGTTAAAGTCTCAAATGCATAGAGTTTGTCTTATTGAATGAAGCTTATAGGGAATATGGCACCAAAAGGGAGTTGGGGAGCGTTTGGGGAACATCTGTAACGGTCCCCGTTACAATTAGCACTAGTTTTTTGTAGTTTACTTTTGAGAGTACACACACACACAACAAATTTCAGAATCAAACAGAAAAAGGTCATTGTTATTTAATGACAACGAAATTGTTTTCATACAGTCTATCTATAGTCCTTTTCACAGACGGCCAGACCGTGAAGTTTTTCCAGAATGCCCAACCGTAAAGCCGAGCATGCGTATTCCATACGAGACCGCAAGCAAAAATCGGAAAGAATGGAGGCGTACAAGGCGAGGACAATCCCCCGCTCTGAGAAAAGACATTTCTCAATTCTAAAAGTTCACGAAGGTATATTTTTCAAAACTATATGGTTAAGGTAGTCCGATCCTCAGGTGTATGAAATTAGCTGTTAAGTAATCAAAAATACTCATAAAAGTATCTCTGAATCCACAAAATTATGTAAATTTATCCATGGTATTTTTTTTAAGTTAAAGATTACAGTTAATCATATTATGTAGGAAATTGTCAAATCTCCAATATTTTTGCAGAAAAAGGGACTTGGAATATCAGCAATGCATTTTCTAATTGCAAATTGATCAACAAATATATTTTAGGTTAAAAAACGATAGGTATCCAGACATTCAGAGAAATTGTCATGATTTTTATACTTATTTTGTATTTTTTGTCTTTTATTTCCGTCATGCATTCTATAATACATAGCGTAAAAGGCTTTTGCTATCATTGCAAGACACCACAAATCACTATTATACTCATTTCATATCATGCTAATAAGCATTGGTATCTAAGGCTGGATTCAAGAAAGTCTTGTTTCTGTAAAACTGTATTAATTTTTTCTCCTGTTATAGGGTACAAAATGTCAACTTTTATAAGACCTTTTCTAAGACTTCCACAGACCTTGAATCCTATAAAGATGAATAAAATGAAAATTGTTGCATGAAAAAATTTCATTTTCTAACTTCATTTTGGTGCATTTCAAATTAAATATGAATTTTTGGAGTTATCCTTCCTGGCTAAGGATCGGATATCCTTAAAGAGGCTGGGTGGTCGTGGCCATTTTTAGACTATTTTGATCTCCATTAGAAGAAGAGCTCCATATAAAGATATAATAAAATAAAAATAATTTTAAAGCTAAAATTTATGAAATTTTTCTTTGCCAAATGATAGTTGACAGCTTAAGATATCATATCCCCAAATTTAAGGTATATCTGGTGGTTAATAAAAAAAATAATTAGTTGACCCCCTGGCCTCCTTAATATCATCTTTTACAGATTTAATTCTGTATTTTATTGTTTAAATATCTTATTAATAATTTATTTTTTACTCATGTTTATAAGATATATGAAAAAAAAGCTTCACGTATGATTCGAACTCTCTCCATAACACAGAGAGGGTTGGCGCAAGATCAAAAGCGCTAACCATGACGGTACGAAGTATATGCGTTATCACAGTCTGTCAGTGTAATTAAAGGAACGGGTTTGTTGAAGCGTACATTTTTTTCAGAAATGTTCAATTTTCATACAGGATATGGGTTCAGATTCCATTTTTTTTTAGACAAATGAAATAGATTTCTTGTCTATGTTTCCATCATTTAAGCGTTAACGAAGATTGGAGACTTAATCAACCCATTCATATTCAAAAATCATTTTCTATGGCTCTAGTTAACCCATTTTCCACTAAATATGCTCAGCTGTCAACTTTAAAAAAAAAAAAATTGCCAAATGAAAAGTCGTCCAGTAAAATAAAATAAAGAGTTTTGAAGATGACATTACTGAGAACATGATTTTAGAAAAATATAACTTTTCCATAAATTTTGAAAATTGAGAGACATTATCTCAAAATGGGGGATTGTCCACGCCTTGTAAGCCCTCTTTCTTCTGTTTTTGATATACAAACCGTTTACAAAGGTCTCGGAACTAGAATTATGAACTTATATTTGCAATGTATGGTTGTTAAATGATCACAGTTGTTTCACGTCAGAATTGATACCTTATGTATCATCAATTCATTTGATGCGCTCAGCAATTCAATTAGAGGTATCTTATAATAATTGATATCTTTAACGGTGTTTAATTACGGATTGTTGCATTAATTCATCTTGACTGATTTTTTAAAAAAAATATTCCTTTCGTCTAATGAATTACCGATAATGAGTTATTAAAAAACAATTTGATGAAACAACGATATCAACTGTCTCGTTTCAAGTCATCATTTCAGAGTCAAGTTTAATTGCTGGACAAAATCGTAGTGCATAATATTTAAAGGAATTTTTTAGAAGTCTATGGATGGATTTACAAAAACAAAACTTGGAATTATGTATCTTAGTTAAGTCTACTTACTTAAGTTATATGTTTCTGCATATGAAGCTTTTCCGTCTCTGACCAGTGGAGCTAAAATTAGACATACCGTGTAACCCCATTCTGACCTTCCTTTCTTGTTTACTTTTTAATTGGTTAACAAGAGGCCCACGGGCCTTATAGGTCACCTGAGTATCATGTAACAACTTTCGAACAATTGAATTTGGTTCGTGTTTTAAAACCAGAGGCCATGAAATTCACAATTTTGAAAGAGGCACCATTGCTTATCATAATTATACACTTAGCATGCTTACTCTAGTTACTTAATACCCAGAAGTAGATCAGAGAAACAAAGAGAAAATGCATTTTCACTTTATAACCAGTTGTGCACCACACCCCAAAGGAACCACTGACCCTGAGGCCACATATTTAAAATTTTGCAAATCTTATAAAATGGTTGATTGATACCAAAGAGCAGATTTCAAAGCATTAATTTATTTTCAGACTATGTACACCCCCCCCCCCCATAACCCTGAACCAAGGGGCATAAAATTAACCATATTTCTAGAGGCACCTTTTTTCATCATATATATATATACTTAGATCATTGGCATAATACCCAGGAGCAAAGGAAAAGATTTTCAAAGAATTAATTTATTTTCAGTATATAATCACCCCCCCCCCCTTACACCAAATGGCAAAACCCCTGATACAGTGGCCATGAAATTTACAAATTTAGTTGAGGCACTCTTGCTCATTATAACTATATACTAAGTTAGTTTAAAACCCAGGAGCAGAGAAGAAGATTTTCAAAGAATTAATGCATTTTCACTATATAATCAATAGAGCCCCGCCCTAATATCAGAACCCCTGACCCTGGGGCCATAAAATTCACAATTTTGAAGGAGACACTCTTACTCATCATAACTATGTACTTGGTAAATTTATTTAATAACCAGGAGCAGAGAAGAAGATTTTCAAAGATTTAATGTATTTTCACTATATAATCAAAAGAGCCACACACTAACACTAGAACCCCTGACCTTGGGGCCATAAAATTCACAATTTGGAAGAGGCACTCTTATTCATCATAACTATGTACTTAGTTAGTTTATTTAATACCCAGGAGCAGAGAAGAAGATTTTCAAAGAAATAATACATTTTCACTATATAATCTATATAGCCCCACCCTAGCACTAGAACCCCTGACCCTGGGGCCATGAATTTCACAATTTTGGTAGAGGACTCAATACTCATTACATTCATACCAATAGTTTGACTGCTTGATGTCCAAGAGTAAAGAAGATTTTTAAAGTTTTCATTAATTCTAGTGGTTTTGGCCCCACCCCTCAGGCCCCAGGGGGGCAGGGACCAAAAATTTCAAATTTTTTGTTCCCCTTCACCCATAGATGCTGTATACCAAATTTGGTTAAAATTGGTTCAGTGGTTTCAGAGAAGAAGCTGAAAATGTTCAAATGTTAACACATGACAACGGACAAAAACGGATAGCAATAGGTCACCTGAGTGACTCAGGTGACCTAAAATCAGAACTAATGTCAGTGAAGGAATGACCGACAGGCAGGAACAGACCATACTCATAGTATATGACAAATACCATTTGTTGTAACCTTACATACTATTTATTTTCAAATTTTAGAGAAAAAACCATTGCAATATATATAAATATATTATGTACATCTTGAAATAGACCCAGCATTTGATCATATATATTTACCCGTAATGTGAATGATTAACAAATAACTGCCTTTTTAAAGAAACAATAAATTTTTCATCTTGTTGCAGATCTAAATTTCACTGATCTGAATAAAATATCGGATGTTTATATATTTATTCAGACAAGTTAACTACAGATCTGCAGCTATTAAAAATCATATAATAAGCATATTGATGTTTAATTTAAACAATATTTATTTCAAAAACTAAATGTACAATATAAAGTAAAAATTATGGCCTTTTTATTAATAATAATAACAATTAAATAAAAAAAAAACATGTACACGATGACATGTAGAGTGCCAAATATCCAACACACAGTCAAAGATGAAGAAATCTATTAACAGTACTATGAAGGACAGGAAAGAGTAAGAAATACAGAAAAGGTGTATAACAAGTGAATCAAAAAGTTAATATACAAGTACAGGTGTCAAATAAATACTATACACAAGTATATCTAACAAATCAGCATTCTTTATAATTCATAGTTATGACCTTAGACATTCACAATATGCTATAAATAACAATTTTTTTTAATGTTAATCACGTACTGCACTCAAAAAGTATAATAGTTAATGGTTTTGTAAATATACACGGAATATCTTTTAATAAATGTTTTTTGATAATGTCCAGATCAATTTCTTCACAGAATGATCAAACTAAAAGAAAAAAATCACACATGCCTCAGTAAAATGTGTAGAACTCTGTGGCTGCTCTGTTTATTTCTGTTTTGGATATTTAGAGAATGGAGTGCTCTAAAAATAAAAGGATGGGTTATGGTTAAACCAACTGGTGGTATAAACAAATCTCAGTTCAACATTTCATAGTTTCCATATGTACGAAAGAAAAACCAGTCATGTTTCATCAAGACAAGAAGTCAAATCTTTTCTTCACATTGCAAGCTAGAGCAAGTATATCTTAATTTGAAAAAAAAAAATCAGCAGTTAACTTTGTAAAAGATTCATGCATATTTATCTTACAGCAAGGTAGACTCCAAATTTGGCATGCTCATCATTGGCAGAGCAGGCAGCTGCAGGCTTCAGTGAGCCATCTCCCAGTATCCCAACACATTTACCCCTCTCCTTACAAGACTCCAAACACACAAAGTTCTGTCCCTTTAGCACTAACAAGAACTTTGTCTCGATCCCAAGATGGCTGCCCTGAGGCTAAAAGAGGATATGAAATCAATATTCAAATATACTCTTTATATCAAACAATATATTTATCTGTTTCATTGCATTTGTGGAAGTTCAGTTTTTGAGTATTTTATCAGTACCTCGGTCCAACAATTTTACAACAAACATCGAGATGTGGGTGAATTTTCTTTTTGAAAAAAAAAAGTTTTCATATGAAAATACATCAGGTCCCTTATGAACCTGTAGTTTAATAGCAATCTAGAAAAAAGACATATGAATTAAAACAATTACTTTGTGGTACACAGTTCAGTTCTGCTGTCATCTGCCTAAGTGATATTCATTTAGAGAATGCACCTTTTTAGATAATACTCACCACATGCATAACAACCGTGTGCCCATTAACTATGGCCAGGTAGTTGAAGTTGTTGTGGAGGCGAACTTGATTGCTTCCCTCATTAACCACAGTCCAGACAGCTATAAAACAGACAAAATGCAATATAATCTTCAAAAACAAAAACAAACCTCTTTTTCCCTTTGGATCAAATCATTTGAATGCATATATATTAAAAATATACTGCAGGAAAAGTAATGATATGAAATTTGTAAACACTTCTGATATATATATTTTTTGAAAATTTATCTACTATAGACATATCTCCTGGCATACCTACTGATAATACAAACACCTAGCCACCTACCATTATAAACCTCTGGTCCAATAACTCCCATCCCATCAACCACCAGCTGACCAGATGAAGACTGGACGATCTGTAGGGCCCGTCCACTGGACTTAGACACCAGCTGTACCTGGTTACCAGTCACAAAGTTCTCCTACAAAGATGTGACAAAACTTTATGAATTCAGGAAACTTCAATTAAATATAAATTATACAAGTGAACTTAGGTATCTCTAATACATTATACCTATATCTTGAATTGAATACCTTGGTTATGTGAAAGTAATTTTTAAGTCCCAACTACTGAATCCTTTAGTATTTTACCCTTAATATTTTTTAAATCTTTGATTATCTCGAGGTTCATTTTAGGTCCCTAAGAGTCCACGATAATGAGGTTTGACCATATATTTGAAAAAGTCCAAATAAGTGACAGAATTATGCATTGAACACTTTATTTGATCATATCAGAAGAGCTCACATGAGCCCCATTAACACTAGCTGAGCCATAAAAATGAGATTTATCTTACAAGAACAGGTCCATAATTATGTTGGTGATATTCAGTTCTGATCATGTTTCCTGCAGAATCTAGTTCTTTCTGAATAAATCCACCAAGTCTGTTCAGATCTTTTGACAGGGATCCAAGCAGACCATGCTATAATAAATTAAATTAAATAACATAAATATGATAAATGAGATATAGTACTCCATACTATAAGCACGAGAAGCAATATAACTGGGCTTTTATAAATATGGACTAAATGTTTCATAGACACAACTGGTTTCCAATCAAGAAGTGGATATACCACTGTATTAAAAGTGATGGAAAAGTTTTTTTTAAATAAAGAGATGAGAGAGAAATAGAACACTGCATGGAATAACTTAACCCAGACCTTAAACCCAGTAAAAAAAGTAGAAGAGTTTTTATTCTATCTGGTAAATGCTGATTGATAAACATGTCATAAATACAAAACTATGCCCCAATTTTAAAAATTTGTAAATACTAGCAGAATGCATAGACTAAATTGCCTTACTCAGTTACTGCAAAGAACGATATGTATTACGGTATGTAATATGTTATAAATTGGGCAAAATGAATAATTTTTTTCAATTAATTTCAAAACTTACATTTGTAGGGGGTGGCCTATGCTGTTGTTGAACTATTACTGTTGTCTGAAAGGTAAAAAAGGTTTGTATGATATAAACTACTAAACTGAATATTGCATCACTCTGTATCAATGTATTTCTAACTTTAGCCTATAGATGTGCAAGAGATATATTCCTGTACTTTTTTTTATTTTATTATTTTCCCATCATCTTTCATTGCAAAACTTGGATTCCATATTGTGGCCCCACCCTCCCCCAGGGGTCATGATTAGAACAATCTAGAATCAACATTACCTAAAGATGCTTTCATATAAGTTTCAGCTTTTCTGGCCCCGTGGTTCTTCATCCAAAGAATTTTTTTTTAAAATTCCATTATATTTCTACGTAAAATTTAGATTCCACATTGTGGCCCCGTCCTACCCCTGCAGGATTTTAACAATTTAGGATCTACACTACCTCAGGATGCTTCCACATTTGTTTCAGTTTTTCTGGCCCAGTGGTTCTTTAGAAGAAGATTTTTTAATGATCCCACCTTATTTTTGTCTTTTCTTGATTATCTTCCCTTGTGAGGGGTCTTGGCCCTTCATTTTGACAATTTAAATTCCCCTTCTCCTATCAATGCTTTGTACCAAGCTTGGTTAAAATTGGCCCTGTGGTTCTTGAGAATAAGTCGAAAATGTGAAAAGTTTACAGACGGACAGACAGCTAGAGAGACAGATGGCCAGCTAGACAGACGGACAAGACAAAATGTGATCAGAAAAGCTCACTTGAGCCTTCAGCTCAGTTGAGCTAAAAAAAACCCGAAAACCCAATTTAAAACAATTATCAAGTATTTATGTACATGTTAGTATGTTTTCAGTGAAGGATCATAAAACTGAACACAGTGAAGAGGAATTTAAACATGGCAAACCAATGTTTACTCACATTTGGAAGAGGGGGGTATTGACCATATTGTTGTATTATAACAGATGGCTTAAAACAAAAAACATAGTACAATTCTCAGTTAAGCTTGGACTTTCAGTGAGGCATGGCATTCTCGGCACTACGTAATTAGCGTCTGTCAAATGGGGAATAGATTCTCATTGGCTAAGAAATTAATAAAATCAGGAACTGTTGTTCAGAAAATTGTTTTTGACAACGATGAGACGACTTAAGCTCCACCTCTTTGCCAGATGGGACAATGTTATTGGTTATTCGGTACACTTGTTGACATTCGCCAGAATGTCTATCACATGTATTTTCAACAGTGTATGAAAGCTGTGTAAATTTCTGAAGCTAATTAAGTAACGACGAGAATTCCAGGCCTTACGGAAAGTCCAAGCTTAACTGAGAATTGTCCTATCTTTCCAAAGCCTTCAAATCTAGTCAACACATTTTTTTTTAAATGCAGATTAATTAATAATGCCCATTGATCATGAAGTACTACTAGTCCTTTCTTGTACATTACACGGTCATTTAATACACATATAAATGGAACTCCTTTTCAATATTTTTTTTAACTTAAAGTTTCACCAAGATTATAACTATCATATATTCCTTTGACTATAGTGTACCTACCCCGGCCTGTGGGTACTGGTAGGGAGGGGGAGGCCCCTGGTACGGAGGGGGCTGTTGGTATCCACCACCAGGATACTTGGATGCCATTTTGGTTCTGTTCTCTCTATATATGTATAAATAAGATTAACATACAAAAATCAAGCAGTTAATTTTGTCAGAATTAGAAAAAAAAATACTGGTATTTTATGTACCATGATTTAGTAAATGACTTTTACAAGAGCTTTCTCTTCAATTTTTCCCTATCATAATCATAAATTTTTCCCCATCTTAGGTTGACACGTTCTTCTGTTTAAAATTTATAGAAACTCAATCATGTGAAAAAAGTGACAACCTTCATATTTTTATGTGGAAATATCAGTTTTACCATGGAAATAGAGTAAAAACTCCATTATAATATAAGAAATGTGTAGATAAATTATTTCTGAATTCAAATATCTTATGAATGTTGGTGACATTTCTTATTACTTTTAACAACTGTAATGATTAGATCTACTATTGATAGAAAATGAAAGTAGAGATTGACTGAATCAATACGATTTTCCAAAAAATATTCTTAAATGAAATATTAATTACACATGAAGAGTAATTATAATATAAATTCAGCAACATAACTACCTAAGTATCCAACAACGCTGGAAAATCTACCAAAATCGATTGATAGGATCGATTATTTGATGGTTCGATGTTTGTTTACACTGATTTCGCGAAACTTCCGTACACTCACGGTCACGTTACCTGGTTTGACTAATTCACGCAGAAACCAAATACTCGGACATCGCTCTTCATTGTATGAAAAAAAATTTTAAGATGTCTTAAACAAATGTAATTTCTATTTTTACCTGTTTAATATCCATGTATGTATAAATGAAAATAATATGTAGGTGCTTAGATAATTGATATAAATAAATTCAATCATTATCCCTACAGCCCGTACAGGTATTATCACCGTGACATAAGTTACTGACTCAGTTACTTGTATTGTAACTTAGATTCTACGACGGCAAAATATTGCGACAAAAACAAAAACTAAACAAAAACAATCCTGAACAATTATGATTCAAATTATATGAGATTTTTTTTTAAACGTTTGATACTTATAAACCTGTTTTTTTTATGCCATTTGTTGGACCATTTTTATGCAATAAATTGTCTACGGATTTTCCTGTTTCCCTTAACATGACATGGTGGTCATCCACAAAATGTCAATGTTTTGTGATTTCGGAACTCCACACAAACAGTTTTTTTTTTTTTTAAATAGATTGAATTTATAGCTTGAATACAGTTTGCTATAGTCACACACGCAGTGGGTGGATATAAGGGATGCTTATAATTAATTACTCCTCCATGGCACTTGATCCCGCTTCTGATGTTATAGAGTTCGATCCATATTTGATATCCTTCCAATGTGTTTTGTTCCAGTGGAGTTTTGAGGTTGATTCCTGTTTGTTTTCTTCATAGGCCTATACTGCAAATTATCAAGCGACACCTATGGCACGCCAAATTCACAAAAATGAGATAAATCTAGTTTCACATTTGATAAACTAGGTTTATCGACTGTAAACTATAGTTTACAAACCGTAAACTATAGTTAACGATTCGTTAAGTATAGTTAACGATTCGTTAAGTATAGTTTTCATCTGTAAAACTATATTTAACGGTTGTTAACTATAGTTTACGAATGATAATCTAAGTTTATCTGTCTGTAATAAGCGTTAACAATAGATTTTGTTGATAAACATAGATTCACGTTTGTAAACTATAGTTTACAATCGTAAACAATAGTTAAGAGTTGTTAATCATAGTTTCACAAATCGTGAAACTATATTTATCAGATTGTTAACTATAGTTAACGGTTTGTAAACTATAGTTTACAAATCGTGAAACTGTATTTATCAGATAATCTATGCTTTGCAATCGCAAATGATTGTTTCCAGTGTTAAGTATAGTTTACGGTTGTGAAACATAGATTATCGCGTTAACTATGGTTTACGGATGTAAAATATAGATTAACGTTGTTAACTATAGTTTACAGTCCGTAAACTATAGTTTACAACAGATAAACCTAGTTTACCGATTGTGAAACTATGATTTGCTCATTTTTGTGAATTTGGCGTGCCATAGACACCTTATACTGGTTAATGCACTTCAGTGGTTAGCGCCCTTTATACGCAAAAAATAGTCTGTTAAATAAAATTGCAAGAATCATACCGGTATTTTCGCTCAAAGACCGCAATTACGCAAAAATAAAGTTATTATAAATAAAAAGGGATGTGTACGTAGTATTTCTCTGGTTTTATCGTCTATTGTCAGGAAAACATTGAAATATTTAAACAGATGTGGTAAACTGACTTCCCCCTTCACCCAATCATGACAATGAGCACACAGAAGCTGTGAACGATCGACAGAGAATGCTTAAGTCTTTGATGGAACCTGATCCCACCTTGATGTTTTTATAGTCTGTCCCACGACCGGAACGTCACTACTTTTTGCAAAATATCTCAAAATAAATAAATACCTTGGCTTTCAACCTGTATCCGATTGGTAGATTGAATTTTTTCCAAACTTTCTGCTTTTATCCGAACCCTCGAGGTCAACCGGTGTAAACACACGGCGGCAAATTCAAAGTCTACGGGGATTTAACATAGTAAACTCGTCCATTAACGTCTAGATTACGGGGCCGGGAACCAGTTTACGAAGGGAGTTGTCGTTCTTTCCGAAGGGAAAATTCAAAAAATGTATTAAAATAGAAAGAAATGAAATAAACGTGTTTTTAGTAAAAATATGAGAAATACACAATATTCATCAATATTTAAACGAGTTTTATCGTGATGAATGAGTGAATAGTCCGAATATATTACGTTAGGCCTAATGGCGGGCTGATGAATCATCCATGGTTCAGAAAGGTAAGTTTTTTAATGTTGTTTTTTGTTATATACTGCTGTACAAACGTTTCTTGAAGATATATATCAATTTTTATGATAGAGTATACGCAAAGATGTATTGTTCACACCTGTCCCTATTAGCTATAGACAGCGGAAATACAGTGACCTACATTATAGACATGATTGTACACATAACAGCTGTAACACAGTTAGATCTATAACGTCTCACGGGCTAATATATTGATTAATGAACTGATTTTACTTAACAAGTTGGATTAAAGAGATTCACAGGATAAGGGATAAAATTAAAAAATAAAGCAATACTGACTTTCTCTATTTCGGTTAGAAAAAGGTAAGTTTCATTAACCCTGTGATTGTGGAGAAAAAGTCTACTTTCGCTTTTAACAATACCGTAAATAGTTAAGATATATAAACTATTTATGCCTAATAAATACCCTAGGTATCCAATATGCTATTTTCTATATTACCAATATTTTGACACTCATAATTCTTTCCTGATTTCTTATAAAAATTATTTGTTTATTGTGGGTTTTTTTTTGGCTTGTATGGTGTAAACCCTAGAGAAAATTTGTGATATAATTAAATGTTCGAAAGCAAAACATACAGTATATTGTCAGTCCACTCTGTGCAGTTGTATTGAGCAGACTTTAACAATTGAACACACCTGGTGAATCACAAAACTTAACATTATGAGAGCTTGTGCCCTGTTTACAAAAACTGTGTATTACATTTCACAAATATGTTCAATTTGCTAAACCCTGTACACAACACTAAGCTTGGAATGACAAAATGATTTTGCTTTTGAACATTTCTACTCTGAAAATAATTATTTTTCTGGATTTAAGTTTTTTTGATAATTTTGATTCGCGCTCCATTTTAAATTCGCCCAATCGAGAAAAGGGCAAAAATTAAACAGGGGCCAAAATTTCCCTGTTTACAGTATAAAATGTGTAAAATTGCATATTGATTGATTTGATTGGTTTACTGCTATATAGAGCACACATATTTTTAGCCTCATATAATCCAAGTTCAGCTTTGTCATATTTACAGCTGAGGAGACTTCTACAGGTGCTAAGCCTTTCATGGAAATCACTGTCAGGATAAACTTTCACTTTGTTTGAAGGTATCTTTTCTTACCCATGCATACTTTTCATATCTTGTCATACAAATTACAATTAAGTCACTGTATGTAAATGACTTTTCATTATAATGCATTATTCAGCATATTGTCTAATGATATGAGATTACTTACTTCAATTTTAAAACTTAATATATCTTTGAAAGGAAAACAATGTACTTATTGAATGCAACAAAACATTTATTTTACAAATCTGAGAAAATTTGCATCATAACATGTACATGTATTATATAAGATGAACAGTCAATAACTCAAATTGCAATTAATTCTTTTTAACATCTGTAAAGCACAATATTGTTGGTATCATATGGTTTGTAATATTCACTTAATTATCACAAAATGTAAATTTATAAAATCATTGCAGAATTTTATTTTTTCTTAACTATACATGCTACGTACAGTTTGAGGATTTTTATCAATGAAAATTTCCGAAATTTTTTAGTGATCAAAGTTTGTATACTATACGTGTCATCCCATAAAAAACAACAACGATTTACTGCATGAATACAAGACATACTATGCTCATCAAAGAAATCAAAACAAATGGTTGAGACAAACATTTGAAATTTTCCTGTAGTATTTTTATCACAGACACTACTTGCTTTATAATGTAAATTAAATATTAAGATATTTGGGGAATTTCTGAAATACCTTGCCCTGTATGTAAGCATTTAGGTAATGTCACAAAGACGGAAGTTTACAGACATCTCTGTCGTGCCAGTGACTCCATATCATGTATACCAACAATGAAATGTGTACTGAATAAAATTATAAACCACTGTATTCAATTATTCATATGCCATTCATGGGTCCATGTAAAAATGCTCAGCATTTAATTGTATGTAAAAGTATAACTCATTGTAGTCTGATTTATTATTAGTATTTGCAGTAAGTTACTGCTGTGCTTGACTACAATTTTAATAGCTAGTTCATTATTGTTTCTTTTTTGACTAGCTTAATGTTGTGCATTTCAAACCAACACCTTTGTTGTACACATTCAATGTTTGGTTGAAAGAACCTTAAGTAATACATGATATAACCTTAATGCAAACATACAGTCATAATTAATGGTTTAAGGTGTAATTGGGACACAAAAGCAATGAATAAGCAAGTTATGTGGCTGAATGAATCTATTGCAACTATAGCATAAGAGTCAGTCTATATGTAGCAGTAAGTCTAATATGGTAAATTTGAACAAAGAAAAAAGATAATTAGAAAAAAGAGGGTGTATAACATCAACATTGTTTTCACAGAACATGGAAGATAAAAATACAGTATATTTATGTAAAAAAAAAATGATACAGAGAACACAAATATGCATCTTTCAGATTTAGAACAATCGCTGATTTAGAGAGTGGTACATGAAGAAGTGGGACACTTAAGTTTTTGAGTACATGTATTAAATTATTAATAATGAAGTTAAACTAAAAATCAAAACAAAGTTTTTATCATTTACAGTACTGAAGTGCAGAAAAAGTAGAGTGAAAATACAAAATATTGAAGAACAAATGTAAATAATCAAGTAATTACAATTCATATGTTTCAATGTACTACATATTTAGTTAACGGTAAACAATATGAATAACATTTATCACAGCAGATTTTATCACAGTAAACTGAATAGAAATACAGTACGACTCCTATGTTAAAGCTTAAATATAATAAACAGTATGACATGATTAAAAAACATGTACACATATGAATTAAAATCATTGAAATTAAATTTTTTTTA